GATTCTTTAGGATGAATGTTTGGAACCTTTGGGACACCACACCTCACAACTTGGGTAGAGAAGTTCTTTAGAAGTTGGCCCAACTCCCCAAAACGGTTTCAGTCTGCATGAGACTGGTGGGATGTTGGTACGGCCATTGCATCCAACTTCCTCAATATTTTCTCCCACATTTCGGCCGCAGAATGTAACAAAGAAGAATATGAGATTGTTAAGAACTTGCAACGGGTTGAGGATCGGATGCAAATGCACCCTGTCTCCTCACCCGTCTGGGCAGCAGAAAGGACCAAACTTTTGGTTAAATGGGGCGAGATTCAACAAAAGAAATCAGAAGAATGGGCAGAAAGGTTGACAGTCAATGACATCTCAGTGTACGATAAAATGACTAAGGAGTCGTTTCAAAGACTGTTGCTCAAACGGGCGGCACGGTCCATGAAACTTCTTAACCACCCGCTCGCTCCGAAAGCCAAACCAACATCCTCGTCAGATTTGATATGTGCATATGTCGTACTTTATTTTCCAGGACATCTTAACATCCCGCAGACCGGAAAAAGCCCCTGAAACATACCTCGCAGATGGTTCAAGCCATTGGGATAATCTCACAATCAGACTCTCCCTCATGGGCAAAGTGGACCTGGACCGTCCGATTGCAATGAAAGAATTAGAAGCCACGACTCAGAGCATGGCCAAAAGGAAGGTTTTTGGTAGAGATGGGCTACCCGTGAAATTTTATTTGCGACACGATAAATCTTTGTTCCCTCGCCTGGTTGAAATTTACAATAAGGTTCTCATATGTGAAAACCTATCTAAGGGCATGACGCATGGCATCATCACTATCATGTAAAAAAACAACGACAAACCTGAGATCTAAAATTGGAGACCAATTTCATTATTGAATGTATCATATAAAATTTTAGCAAAGTTGTTATCCAATAAGTTGTGTCGGTCGGGTTCATGCTGCTTTCGTTTAAGGTATGTCTATTTTCGATATCGTCACAACAATCGAAGCATTCGAATGACTTCATCGGGAGAATTTGGATATTGCATTTCTTTTCCTGGATCTAGAGAACGCCTACGATAGAGTAAATTGGGCTTATATTCTCACCACACTGAAGGTACTTCAATTTGGTTCAAACTTTTGTCGTTGGGTCTCTGTCCGCTTTCTTCACAGCAGCGGTCTCAGTCAGTGGACACATATCTGCAGGCTTCACATTGACCAGATCGCTGAGGCGGGGATGCCCCCTAGCCCCTCTACTATTTGTGGTACAATTGGAAGTACTGATCTCCAACATCAAATCACACACATGCATCAGAGGCTTACAGATCCAACATACGGAATGCCACGTAAAGGCACTAGCAGATGACTTGATGGCAATTTCAAAGATTTCGGTGGATTCCCTGCAGGCCCTATGAAAATGTTTAACGAAGTACGATAATATCTTCAAAGTTGCAGTGAACTGGACGAAGTCCGTATATTTCCTACTAGACGACCACTCACTGGCGGTAGAATGGGGTATGAAGAGTGTTACCAAGGGTTTCTCAAAACCTTACCTAGGCATACAGGTTACGCTAGGATAGTGTGCAGAAGCCCGAAACGATCCGCTACAGCAGAGAATTGTCCAGAGAATTACATTTTTGGGCCTTACTAAACACCCGTCTGCGTTTCGCCGGACTCTCGTCACAAACGTCGCGTTGTTCGCCATTCTCTGGTTCGTAGGCGGTTAAAGCTCTTGACAAGCAGCTTCTCAAGGTAGTACAAAAGGTAGCAACAATATTTATTTGGAAACCCTTCTCAAAGGAATATGAGAGATTTATCTCCAAGGTCACGTGGGACCTGATCTATTACCCCCGAGAGGAGGGGGGGTTGGGCATGCTTGACCCAAGCAAACAGAACACTGCAGTACTAGTAAAATGGGTGATCAAGGTTATCTCCAGTCAAACGGAAGGCCACTGGATTCTACTCACAGAACAAATCTTGACACAAGATTGGAACTTACCACGCTATAAAGATGTATGGGCATGCTGTATGATTGAGTCCTTGCGCAAACGGATCTCCTCCCCATTTTGGCAGGACGCACTAAGAGCCTGGAAGAAGGTGGGACCACACCACTGGATCTCACCTACAACCAGGGAGGAGGTGCCCTCCCAGCCACTGTTTGACACCCCGTCGATTCAAGATAAGAAGGGACTCCCCTTCTTCGCAGGTAGTGCCCCGGATGCATTTAAAAGGCAATGGGCAGAAAGGGGGTACTGTACATGGCGGATTTGTGGGACGAACTGACGGGTCATTGGAAATCAGGAGAAGAGCTTAGATGCACATTATGTTGCTGTTGTTGTTGTGCGAAGAAGAAAGCTCCTCACATCTCTCTAGCACACGAGTCAGGAATATAATCCAAGTCAGAGTACACGAAAGTTGTGTTGAAGACCTGTACTGTGTGGGCAAAAGGAGAGCCAATCCGCTCATTGCATCTGGATCGCAAGATGTGGTCTTGGAGGGACTCAAAGAAATTCCCTCCGGAGGTATGACTAGCAGACTACACGTCAGGAGGCGAGTATGACCTCCTCCTACTGGAGAGGACTCCAATATCAATTGCTACTGCTAGATGGAAACAAGTACGCAACACAAAAAATGCAGTAACAAGTTGAGATGTCAAGAGATGGTGGTCATAGTTACAGAAAATCCCAATCCCAAGAGCAACTATTCTTTTACGGTTACTTTCACTTTTGGCGACCCCCGACAGTCTGGCTCGTCGAGAGGGGCATGAAGATCCAATTCCACTTCTCTAGATGTCATTGGCCGTTCGAATCCACTGTTCACCTATGGCTCGTTTGTCGATTGTCCCAACGGATTTGCGAATGGTGGGCGGACCACTGGGCCCGCATCAGCGAGTCATTTTTTCCCCTGGGATGACCACTGAATCCTATTCGGTGGGGGAACAAGAAATATGAATGTGTTCGAAGGGAGATTTCTCTCAGACCTACTCAATCAAATCCATGGTGAAGACGAACATCCGTCGAAGCATCAAGTGCGACTGGAGACGGAAGGTCTCCAACGCGCAGAAGGTGGCCGACCTGGCATGGTTCATGCAGACCTGGGCTCTGCAGGGACGGCTGGCCAAAATCCAAGACAGGAAACTGAAGTTAGATGAGTGGCTAGTAGGTAACGAGTAAGAACCTGGGCGCTCGATTCATCTCCTCAGTAGGAGCGCAGCAGCTGGTGGTTGTGGGGTTGGATGCAGTGCCGTCTTTGGGTTTTGGGAGCTCTACGCTCCTCCTTCCCGTGTTAGGGGAGGATCGAAGAAGTTCATGCAACAAGGGTGGCCTGAGTTTCGTATGCATTGGTGTTCGTGTCCACTTCGGGGGTTGGTCCCCGTGGGGCGAAACTGGGTAATGCTCCCAGCGGTTCCCATCCGGGTAGACTGTGAGGACCCCGGCCTCAACTGTTCTCAATTGGAAATATAAGCCTTGGGCACTGGGCCCGCGTTTTTTCTTTTTTGGGTGGGTAGGGGGGGGGGGAGGAGACCACGTGCTTCAAATCCGAATCTCCGGTGCAAGGGCATGACGGAACCATGCATGCCGCTCATGAGGGCATATCGCGCAGGGACCGGTGAAATGGGACTGGCCGTCCAGTAAGGGCACCGCGGAAAGCTGTGCCCCTTGCTGACAGGGGCATGCAGGAGAGTTCAGAAGCCCCAGGGGCGCAACAGGGTAAATCGGCCATGTGAGGGGCGCCACACAAAGTAATGGAAATTACAGGGCGCCAGACAAAATTTCCCGAAAAGAAACAAGAAAACAAACAAGGGAAAAAAGGAAAGAAAAAGGAGGAGAGAGGACCTGTTTCCTATCGGCCAATGACAGGACCACGACATGATGGCCGGCCACCATTGCCAGAAATATGCGAAGCGTTGAAGCAGAAGACCGAACTGCACCGACCACGCCACGCGTAGCGACCATAGCAGACGCCCCCAGCCATTTAGCTCTCTTCAGGGCTATAGCAGAAGACCTAAGCTATGTTGTCTTAGGGGCCACGAGGGGGCAGTCGCCGTCAGATGGCAGGCAGCATAATGATGATCGAATGGTCCCCTTGGCACCTGTTAATCCCCAAGTCGAAATCAAACACAGCCAGCGGCTGACCGGCAAAATCCAGGCCTTGATCTTGCCGCGCCGGATGTCCCTCTTCGATCCCGACCCATCCGGAGGGCCCGTACACTGCAGTCGAAGCACGCTCGAAGTTAGGCAAAGCAGCTGCCGCGATTCGTTGCGAATCTCCGCGGGCTGCGCTGGGCTGGGCTGGGCCGGGCTGGGTGGGTCTGGGCGGGTCGGGGCGGGTCTGGGCGGGCCGGTGCGGTGCGACCCGGTGCGGTGCGGTACGGTGTGGTGCGGTACGGTGTGGTGCGGTGCGGTGCGGATTTGCTACTATCCCTGGCGGTACAGCCCGCTGAGTTGCTTGGCAGCAAATTCCACATTCGGATGGACGTTGGCGTTGGCCTTTGCGAAGTGCCGCGCGTGCCGCGCAATCCAACGCAACGACTACTTGCCTCTGCTCGGAATGCCCGTTATTTTGGGAACGTGCGAACTTCCCGCTTTTGCCGCGCGCCATCGGCAGCGGGCCCGCTTCCTGTCCTGGAGTGAAGTGCGCGTGTGTGTGCGGTATGCGTGAGGGAAGGAACTGGGAGAGGGGTTGGTGGTAGGAGAAGATTGCTTGCTGGACGTCGCCTGCAGGGCGGTTTTGTCCTTGCTCAATCTCTTCGCGCCACGCCCCACGCCCCCCGGTTCCCCCCCTCTCTCCTTCCAGCCCCCACCTTCATCCTCTCCCACCTGCACCCTGCCGCCTCGCTTCCTTCCTCTCCAGACCTGTCATCAGCTCCTTCCTGATTGCTGCTTCGGGTTTTTATTCCGGCAACCCGGGCAAGGGAACCTCACTCACAACGCTACTAGCCAGCTGCTCGAGTCCGATCGCCTCTCGTACCCCGCGCGATCGCACGGTTGCTGGATGTTACCGCCTCTATGGAAGTGCTCGAGCGCAGCGTTCTACTCTCTCCAGCGACTTCTCCTCCCTCCCTCTTGGTAGTCTTCAGGGACAGCGTTAGGCAAGGGCAAGGGCAACAGTAGCGCGCTGGGGATTTGACTCGACAATCAAATTGCACCTCCGCTGGTGGTTGTATACTCCTGCTCGCTCACTGTCCATTCCTCAGCATTGCACGTTCCAAATGTTCGTACGCTTCTCGTCCTTCTCTTCTCCCTCATCAAGCGTCCGGCAACAAGTAACCTCGAATGTTTGCTGATCACGCAATACCCTCATCCTTGCTATGTTCGTTGCCATAAGTCGCGAGCTGTAGCTAATAACTTTGGCCGTGGAATGGTTCTCTCCCGCCCTCCTCTCTCTCTCTCTCTCTCTCTCTCTCTCCGCCCGCAGCTTGTTTGCTTGCTCTCGCTCTAGCTTTCTTCACTCTCCTTCCTCTGTTCCTCCATCGGCTGCATCTCGCTGCACAATAACGCTTGCATTGGTCTATCTTCCTTGTGGCAATTCGTATACGGTCAAGAGCGTGTGGAAAAACGAGCATTTGAGGATCAGCCAAGAGAGTGAGTACGGGACCGAGAGAGGCGGAAGCTAGAGAAGAGAAGAAGAATCCAGTGACAGCTGACTGATAAGTAGAGAGAAGAGAGTTGGTGCGTTTGTCTTTCGTGCGACGAACGGACGCCCGCAAATCCATATACAGACAGAGAGAGAGAGAGAGAGAGAGACAGAGAGAGAGAGAGAGAGAGAGAGAGAGAGAGAGAGAGAGAGAGAGAGAGAGGTTGTTGGCCAGCTGCTTGGTGCCAGAGTATCTGGGCAAGTGCATGATGGTGGATATGGCTAGGCGTCTGGGGCCGGGTGTGGTGTTGATTCTTTGGTGTTTACTATGTCAATCTTCAGCGGCTGTCGCCGGCTCTTCCCAGGATGTGCTGTACGTATTCGGCGATTCTTTCGGAGATACTGGCAATCTTCCGAAAACAGCGGGCAACGGTGCGAACCCTTGGGCGCTGCCTTATGGATGCACTTGGCCCGGGTCGGCTGCAGGGCGGTTTTGCGACGGGAAGATAATGGTTGATTACCTCTCGAGCGCGTTGCAGTTGCCCGACGACTCCGTGGTGCCGTACGTTCAGTGTGATAGGTACGGGGAGGCCAGTCGCGGTGTGAACTTCGCGACGGGAGGAGCCAGAGTTCTAGGCGGCGGAGAGAACTCTTTGACTGGACAGGCGGCCAAGTTCCTCAATTTCGTGAAGACAAGAAACTACACAGCTGATCAGCTTTCCGGGTCTTTCTATTTGATCATCATGTCTGGCGGTAACGATTACAGCAAGTGTTTGGAGCGATCAAACAGACTGGAAGAGTATGTACAAATCGTGGTAGACGGAATGAAGGAATGTATGAATACGCTGTTCCACGCGGGAGCACGAAAGTTCATTATAACCAACGTGGGGCCGTTGGGTTGTTTTCCGTCTGCAAGGAACGAGAAGGGCGAGTGCGATCCTGATGGCGATGCCATACCGCAGCTTCACAATGCCGCCTTGTCGAAAATGGTCACGGATTTCGGTGGGTCCGGCTGCGCAATTCACATTCTTGACATGTGCAAGGCGTTTGCGGAGGTCATGGAGAACCCCGGGAAGTATGGGTTTTCCAACGTCAATGGAAGTTGTACGTTTGCAACGTCAGGACCGTCCTGCGGTAATGCTGCGGCGGTTGGCGGAAATGTTACGGAATCTTGTGCCAACCCCGACAAGTATTTGTTCTGGGATGGCTCGCATCTAACACAAGCGGGTTGGCAGGCTCTCTTCAACTTCTTCCATTCTGGTTCGGGGTATACCGTCCCTGAGCCGAACCTCCGGGACACTTTGTTCTGCAATTCTGGTTCGGGATCTGGTTCGGGGTCTGGTTCGGGATCTGGTTCGGGATCTGGTTCTGGATCTGGTTCTGGATCTGGTTCTGGATCTGGTTCGGGATCTGGTTCGGGATCCGGTTCTTCTTCTCCTCCTCCTCCTCCCCCTCCTCCCCCTCCTCCGTCAGGATCGGGTGGCAGCGAGGGTAATTCCTCCTCTGGCAATGGCGGCGAAGGGCATGCCAACCCTCCTGATGAACCTCGCGGGGGCCATCATCCTGAGCCGGAGAAACCTAAAGTGACTCCTGGCGTCGCTAACAGCACTGACGAGAGCAGTAACGGAAGCACCACCGTCGACAACATGGGCGAGAATCAATACAGCTACGCTCACTTCTATGTCCATGGAGAAAAGAATGCTGCAGGTCGGTTGTCTCCAACCGTCGGAGGATTGCGGATTCTCCGCACTTTGTTGATGACCGCGATTACGTTCCTTTTGCTTCCATTCTATTGTTAATATGTAGTTCGATTGTCCAAGTGTTCCTCCTCCTTTTTTTCCATTCTTGTTAGATTTGCGGCTCCAGAACATGGTTTCCATGGCTTCCCGGCCCCCTTCCGCTGCCTCCCCCCGCTTGTACGTTTTCCGCTTCCGGACTCCTTGCACCTACGTTGCGGTGCTTTCATTGCCAGTGCTCTTTTCGTTTTTTGTCTGAGCCAGAAGACCGCTGTTGTTGTTGTGATAATAGGTTGGGATCGCTTAGGTCGTCCGTCGCTCGTCTTCGCGTTCTCGGGTTTGCTCTCCTCTGCACCATCTCTCCATCCATGCTACCCATTCATTCCAATCCGACCGAAACCACTCGTCTCGTCCATCAATCCAACCCATTTCATCCCATTCCTCTGTCATATCCATCCTTGTCATGAATCAATCTCGTTACGCTTGGATCTTAGCCGTCTATCCGTTTGCCATCCGTCCATTCATCCGTGCATCTGAGGGAGCTGGATGCGCGGAGAGGGACTGCCACTCCTTTACTCGCTCATGGAGACCCTTATCCACCCCACTTTTCTGCCACTCCTTCAGCAGGAGTGCGAGCTCCGTCTCTGGACGGAGCAATGAAAAACCGTTTTCTTCTCTTTAGAAGGTTTGTAGACCAAAGAAGAGAGATGTAGATAGGTAGATTGTTACGTTTCTTTCTTGAACGGATTGCGAAATCGTGGCGCTTTCTGGAAATTACTGTAATTATTTCCAACATTCCGGAAATCGCGCGCTCATCGTTGCGCATTCATATGCTTCCCTTCACGGCATCCTCCTTGCATGTCGTTTGTTTGCAACAACATCCGTAGGAGGAAAGGCATGAGGGAGAGAAGGGGTGGTCATGTGCTTCCCTTCACGGCATCCTCCTTGCATGTCGTTAGTTTACAACAACATCCGGACGAGGAAAGGCATGAGGGAGAGAAGGGGTGGTTGACGATAAGGAGCAGGTGCGGAAGGTTTTCACTGGACCCACGCCACAGAAGATCATTTTTAATCTGAATCGAATTTGATCTCGTTTTTCAAATCATAACGTTATATGCGCTTGTTTTTCCATTTCTCAAATCATGACGTATGACGGAAACTGCATGTTTAATGCACGCTGTAAAACCCCTTTTCTTGCCAAGTGTTCTGACCCCGTAAGGTTGTTCATTTGACCTTCAAGAAGGCTTGTTGCAGCTCGTTTTGTGTTTTATTCGGTCTTTTTTGAATTTGGGTGCGTTGTTGCGTGGGGTCGAGGCGGCGGCGCGGGAAAGGGGGGTTGAGAGAGGAGGGGGGTTGAGGCAGGATTAAGAGAAGAAACTTTTTCGGTTTTGCCTGCTTCTTAACAATATCTTGAGGTGCTGCGTTATCATTTTGCCTTCGTTTCCATCTGCAGCTCAATCCTTGATTCTACAGTAGGAATTTTGAAAAGATGTTTCCCTTCAGCACACTGAAATTGCGCTAGTTTCTTTTGCTTTTTGTCGGATCGTTTGCATCCTTGCCTTATTTGCTTGACCCTTCGCAAGGGCCGACTCCTATTTAACAATCATTGGCGCCCGTTTTGTGGGGAGTTTGTCTTCCTTTCTGCATCACCTCTCTCTAATGTTTGAAATGATCAGGTGCTTTGTGTGAGGATTTCAATGAATATTACTCCGGTTTTGAGAACTCCGGTTTTGTGACTGCGGGGACGCAATACTGTGCCCCTCGGCTTTGCCGCTAAGTATAAATTGCATTGGCTCAATGATGTTGACAATGATTGTTAGCTTGGTGTTCATTGCTAGAGTCGTGAGCCTTCGTGATCGATTCTGTAAGACTTTGGATGAGCTCCATCATCACGTCTCGAGGAAGTCAATTTATCAACGGGTAGCGCAGAACAAAACCAAATTCGGAGACAATAACCCAGGGCGGGGGGGG